GTACCGGCCCCGTTGCTGGTACCATGACAGTTGTATACAATGGGTGGCTTCATTCATGCCATCCATTGTATACTAGTGTCTAGCTGTGAATGGTCATAGCGATCACATGCACAAGCTGGGCCAATGTCATGATTAGCCGTGGCCAAATCACAGCTGAGCACAAAAAAAAAAAAAAAAAAAACTCACTTCCCCAAAGTAGTACAATGTTACTATGGTAACATTGTACTACTTTGGGCAAAGTGAAATATGAAAAAAAAAAAAAAAATTAAAATCAAAAATTAATAAAAAAAAAAATTTTAAAAATGTATTTTTTTTTTCATACTGTCACCAGTCAGAGTCCCTGATCACCGCCAAGCCAGTTATATGAGGACGCTGTACTGCACTGGTGACAGTATGTAAAAAAAAAAAAAAAAAAAAAAAAAGTGAAAATGTTTTTAATTTTTTTCATTTTCTGAAAAATTATGGCCAAAAAAAAAAAAAAAAAAAAAAAACACAACTTCAAAAAACTCGCCATGCCTCTTATGAAGTACGTCGGACTGTCTATTCTGCAAAAAGGGGTCATTTGGGGATATCTGTACTGTTCTGACATTCTTGGACCTCAAGAAATTAGATTGGCTGTCAGTACTTCAGGATTGATCAATATTCAGATCTATACCATAGTTTGTGACTCTATAACTTTCCTACAGACTAAATAATACATCCTAATTTGGGTTATTTTCACAAAAGACATGTAGTAGAATACATTTTGGCCTAAATTTATGAACAATTATTTATTTGCAAACTTTTATAACAGAAACAAAGAAAAACGTGTTTTTTTTTCCAAAATTTTCAGTCTTTTTTTTTTGTTAATTTAGCAAAAAAAGTAAAAACCCCAACGATGATTAAATACCACCAAAAGAAAACTCTAGTTGTGTGAAGAAAAAGATAATTTTAGTTTAGGTACAATGTTGTATGACCGCGCAATTGTCATTCAAAGTGTGAGCGCTAAAACCTGAAAAATGGCCTGGGCAGGAAGGGGGTAAAAGTGCCTGCTATGGAAATGGTTAACATTTGCTTCTACTTCCGCAGATCACTTTTCCTACACTTCGAAAAGCTACATGCAGGAGTGCCATAGTGAACAAGCCCTAAATGGGAGCTCAAATCTATCATATTACAATGGAGGGTCTTTTTTGCTTACAATATGATATGTCCCGTCTGTCAGAGTACTTCCTTCTTCACAATAGCAGCAAATTCTTTTAAATGATTAGGCTTACTGATTCCTCATAACATGAAAGCCATAGTTCACCTTCACACAAAAAAACCCACCACATACAAACCTGCCTAGGAAGGTAAGGGATGTCTGTAGATTATAAAACAAAACACTGTACAGCTAAGACCAAAGTGGAATAATTCCATTTACATACTGTACGTCCTGATGCCCAAGTGGTAAAACCCCCAGAGATTGCATCATCGCATTCTGCCATATTGCTAGGACATTGGTAGGTCTCTTAGCTCTTACAGTTCACCTCCACCACCATAGGAATGAGCTCTCAAATGATGGTGTCAGGGGAGCAAACCACAAGTAAGGGAATTGAATCAGAGAAAAGGCTCATTCCTGTGATAGTGGAAGTACGTAAATAGCCTACACATACAGCAAGTGCATTATCCAACTTTACTCAAAGCTGCACAGTTTGGTGTTCTCTACAGGTGCACCTTACCTGCATAGGCAGTTTTTTGATAAAGGTGAACAGTCTAAGGCTGTATTTACACCATTCCATGTGTATTTTTAGTGTGCAGGGTAACAAACACATATGGGTATAAAATGTGCTCAAAAGGGTTACCCCTTCACACTAAACTGCAGCACACATATGTGAACCAGGCAGAGCAACAAATGGGGATTTCAAAGAAAAATCATTTCAACACAGCAGAATGCACAACTTCTACTGCATGAAAAATGGATAGGTGTAAACAGACATTTTAGAAGTTCATGCACAACTGAACGAAGGTCATTTACCTCCTTTTTCAAGCTACTGCAGAAAGTTCGTGAGAATATGCCCTTCTTTAGCCCTGTGTAATATGCAGAGTTCCTCCACTGCCACCAAAAAAAAGGGGTCCACATCTGTCTGTAGCTACTTTGAGGATTCATTTCCAATTGTTTTCTTGTTTCAGTGGCATTGGGCAGAGCCTGATCATAAGGATTTTTCTTGCCATCTGTTACAAGGATGGGGATATCTCCCCTCCATGTCTGATCCAACCAGGTAAAGTCACTTAGCTGTGATTCAACTTACTAATTGACAAATCGCATGAAATTTCATTCCTCAGTAAGGCCTTATTCACATGGGCATACTATAGAGTAAAGCCTCTGTGAGAGCTATGTTTGTCTGCAAGGATGTTCCATGTATCCTCACACAGGCAGTCAAAATTATTTTCAAATAGGACACAGCTGCTGCTCCCAATTTGACAGCCATGAGCTTACACAGCCCTGAACACCCCCATGGCTGTCAAATTGGGAGCAATGGCTGTGTCCCTACAGCGGCTGTGTCCCTACGGACACTACCTGCACAGCAATGTACCTGTGCATCCCTGTGTGGGCAAATACTACAGTCGAGTGTATGCTTAAAGTGTTACAAAACCCACTCTGTAAAATCAGTCTGTATATGCAGTAAAACACGCTTGTTATACCCACTGTGGAACCTAAGAGGTTAATCGTCCATTGTGTAAAATGTCTGTTTTATCCTGCCTTCCCTGGTCCTCCCATTCTACTGTCCCCAATCCATCTCCTGATAGAAGAGCCTTGGGAGCAAGCTGCACATGCTCAGTTTGATGTGTATTGCTAGAATTGCCTTTTTTCCTTGGTCGAGTGCTCAGCACAGGGCCAATCAGAACTATCCAGATAGTCAGAGGTCCTGTAGCCTGATAGGACAATGGGGGGGGGAATGAAAACTCCTAGAAGCTTTAACCAGTGCTCTGCTGAACACTGATAGAAGTAACAAATCTGCTATATACTGATGAGAAAAAAAGGTATTTAGCAGTTTATTTACCAAAATAATTGCATTTCCATGCATGTTCTTTGTAGTGTGGGAGGACCAGATATAGTGAATGCAGTGACCTGGATTTTGTAACACTTTCAGCACACTTGTGTGTATGAGGCCTTTCCAATGAACAAATGAGACATGTACAGTCATGGCCGAAATTGTTGGCACCCTTGATATTTTTCCTGAAAATCAAGTATTTCACACACAAAAAAGGTATTGCATTAACACATGTTTTGCTATACACATGTTTATTCCCTTTGTATGTATTGGAACAAATATAAAACAGAGGCAGAAAAGCAAATATGACATAATGTCACACAAAACCCCAAAAGGCAGGGCTGGACAAAAGTATTGGCACCCTTAACTTAATATTTGGTTGCACACCCTTTGGAAAACATAACTGAAATCAGTCGCTTCCTATAACCATCAATAAGCTTCTGACACCTCTCACCCGGAATTTTGGACCACTCTTCCTTTGCAAACAGCTCCAGGTCTCTCTTATTGGAAGGACAAAACGCCTTTTCCCAACAGCAATTTTAAGATCTCTCCACAGGTGTTCAATGGGATTTAGATCTGGGCTCATTTAGAAGTTCATGGCCACTTCAGAACTCTCCAGCGCTTCTTTGCCATCCATTTCTGAGTGCTTTTTGACGTATGTTTGGGGTCATTGTCCTGCTGGAAGACCCAGGATCTTGGACGCAAACCCAGCTTTCTGACACTGGGCCCTACAGTGCGACCCAAAATCCTTTGGTAATCCTCAGATTTCATGATGCCTTGCACACAGTCAAGGCACCCAGTGCCAGAGGCAGCAAAACAACCCAAAACATCATTGAACCTCCACCATATTTTACCGTAGGTACTGTGTTTTGTTCTTTGTAGGCCTCATTCCGTTTTCGGTAAACAGTAGAATGATGTGCTTTACCGAAAAGCTCTATCTTGGTCTCATCTGTCCACAAGACGTTTTCCCAGAAGGCTTTTGGCTTACTCAAGTACATTTTGGCAAACTGTAGTCTTGCTTTTTTATGTCTCTGTGTCAGCAGTGGGGTCCTCCTGGGTCTCCTGCCATAGCGTTTCATTTCATTTAAATGTCGACGGATAGTTCGCGCTGACACTGATGCTCCCTGAGCCTGCAGGACAGCTTGAATGTCTTTGGAACATGTTTGGGGCTGCTTATCCACCATCCGGACTATTCTGCGTTGCAATCTTTCATCAATTTTCCTCATCCGTCCACGACCAGGGAGATTAGCTACAGTGCCATGGGTTGCAAACTTCTTGATAATGTTGCGCACTGTGGACAAAGGCAAATCTAGTTCTCTGGAGATGGACTTGTAACCTTGAGATTGTTGATATTTTGCCACAATTTTGGTTCTCAGGTCCTCAGACAGTTCTCGTCTCCTCTTTCTGTTGTCCATGCTTAGTGTGGCACAGACAGACACACAATGCAAAGGTTAAGTGAACGTCTCTCCTTTTTATCTGCTTTCAGGTGTGATTTCTATATTGCCCACACCTGTTACTTGCCCCAGGTGAGTTTACAGGAGCATCACATGCTTGTAACATTCTTATTTATCCGCAGTTGTGAAAGGGTGCCCAATACTTTTGTCCAGCCCTTTTTGGAGGTTTGTGTGACATTATGTCGAATTTGCTTTCTTTCCTCCCTTTTTTGTTTTTCCCAATACACACAAAGGGAATAAACATGTGTATAGCAAAACATGTGTTAATGCAATACGTTTCGTGAGAAATACATGATTTCCTGGAGAAATATCAAGGGTGCCAACAATTTCGGCCATGACTGTATGTGTAACAAGGCATAATCAGACAAGATCACTACATTTTGGATATTTTCCTTAACTAATAATGTGAAACCATCTAAGGAAAGCAGGTCAGTTTATTCACACAGCAATTATGAAGTACAGCTGTATTTACATGAAGACTGTGAAGCAGAATTACAATGCATTCTGAGTTGGCAAGAGTCAAGAAAATATACTTACAGCTAGCAGGCTGTTCTCCATATCGTCGCATAATCTGATCATGAGTGAACTTCACAAAAGCATCGTATTGCTCTTTAGAGATAAGAAAAAAAAAAAAAAATCATTTGCCACCAGTATACACATTTTGATGTGCTTTTCAAAAGAACTAATGAAAAACGGCCATGCTGTATGGGCCATGAGCCATTTACCACAGCAAGCAAGTTCAACAAATGTAGAAAAAAGAAGAAGCTCCAATTCAGTTGTGTATTTCATTAAACATGCAATATCTGCACAACATTGCTGCAAACTATTTTACTTTTTGTGCACTCTCTCATATGCATATAATTTGTATCTGTGTAAATCTCTCCAATGTCTTCTAGTCACATGATTGTATACAAAAATCTATTTTCCAGTGAAAAGTGACACAGATACAGACACACACACACACACACACGCACGCAGGTAAAAGGGCCAATTCACACTGACCTGCACTAAAATGTATGGAAAATACATTTTGGTCGTGCGCTGACATCTGTTGACATACATTTTCACCTCTATTGACATTTTAGCGTGCGTTAAAGCAGTGTTTCTCAACCTTTTTTTAGTCAAGGCACCCTTTCAAATGGAGAGTCCCGAGGCACCCCTTAAAATTATGAGGTGCCTCAAGACTGTCCATAGGTTATAAAAAGGGCACCCCATTCTAAAATATCAAAAAACTATTCTAAATAGTTTTATATAACGAGGCAACATCCACACATGTAAGATGCCCAACACTAGAGGTGATTTATTCTTCCAAAGCAAACATTTTGCACACTGGTACTGACCAGTATTCCAGTGTTTTTTCTCTCTCTCCCTCAGTTTTTTTCCATCACTCAGCTGATGTGACCCCAACGCTGATGGAGAGGGGCGGGGGAGGGTCAAACTAGGATGCTGTGCAGGCAGCTGACATCCTCTTTATCAACTGATGATGTCATTAGTTCTCAGGACATCGGCAGCTAGAAGGTTGTAATGGTGCACAATGGAAGCCAGTGGCTTTGTGTAACTAAAAGGCAGGCTTGTTCCACCCACTGCTTTATATACATGTTTTGGGCAATTTGTAGACATTTTGCCATGGTACTCCTGAAGAAACCTCAAGGCACCCTGGTTGAGAAAGGCTGCATTAAACCATACTGCATTTTCACAGTATATCCTGTGCATTGCGCTGATATCCGCTTACACCCACTGCGTTGCATTAAACTGAATACATGTTGCATTTTAGCGCACCCAGGTCAACACAGCATTATGGTGTCAATACGACACATTGCAAATTGTTTTCAGATGACCTTCCGTTGATCTGCGTTTTACAGCTAAAATGCAGATCAATGCACTGGTGTAAATTGGACCAAAGTTTTGAATAACTAGTAAAGCAATCAGGTGGAGGGCTGCAAAAATAACCTTTACTTGTAAAGCTATATTTTTTTTTATACACAAAACAAAAGGGCTCAATTACTGGAATGGACTTACTTTGAACCAGAATCCTTTTGAGTATAAAAACTAAAAAAAAAGTATGGCTAAAGAGCAGACACTAAACTGTGCTCATCACCAACTTGTTTCCCCAAATCCCATATCTTAAGTGTAGATATACAGTTGGCTTCAACGTCTAAGACTTAGTACTAAAGCTGGCTATACACTAGTAGATTTCCATATGGACATTACTACAAACATTTCTTGTATATTCGAAGACCAGATGACCGTCATTCGAACGAACTTCAGAATTCCGTTGGCTTTTAACATTCAATTTCAGAAGGAGTGGAATATCCCAAAAGGAAGCCCATATTCACTGTTAGAAATAATTTTGAGAAATTTTGTTTATCCTGTTCCTGCAAATATTCTCCTCTTCTCCGCAGTTGTAAACAATCATCAATATGACCCCACTATTGGAGAAGTTTGTTACAAATTTACATTAAGAATATTTGCTCAATTTTCTTAGTGTATAGCCAGCTGATGACCCATTTCATCAGTACTATGCTGTTTTCCACCATTACACAATGCAAAGCCCTACTTGCCACTAGCATTGAGGGACCAACTGAATTTTGTGTGGCCCGCTTTACTCTCACTTTTAGGATTTCCTCCTCTTTATAATTACAAAAACGGTGTCAATCAGTGGCTGCAGCCACTGATCACTGTATTCTTAAAGGTCCCGCTGTAAGAATTCAATGTCTCAGAGAGGGGCGTCCCCCATCCATCTGGCTTGAGTAGCTGTAGGAATCTTTTTGATCAGCCCAGTGAATGAATATAAATAGATTGTGTATTGCTAAGCTTAAATTTCCCCTAGATGTCACTAACCAGGAGTGCCCATCAGAAGATTTCCCCCATCTCCTTTTCCAGTAACATTAAAGTCTTTGATTACATTACAGGAAATGGTTAATTCTTAGACCACTGGGTTATGCTCCACCACCAGGTGATTGGACTCTAGCAAATTGCAAAGCTTACAGCAGAGTTCCACCCAAAAGTGGAAGATCTGCTTAAGTGCCTATTCCACAACACCCCCCCCCCCCCCCAGCATTACCTTTGGCAACTTTTTGAGGGAAGTGGGTACCTGGTTTTGATAGGTATCTGCACCCACTTATGTCTAAGTTCGCAGCTGCAAGCAGAGCAGGAAGTTTGCCCCCACCTTCGTTCCCCCCGCAACCCTCTGGGACATTTCACAGGTCCCAGGAGACTGCGGCCCATTCGTAAGGCACAGCACGGCGCATGCGCAGTAGGAAACTTCACTGCCGGTTTCCCTTAATCATGATGGCAGCGCCAGCACCTGACAGCCAATTAAAGAAATGGCTCGGGGTGAGGACACCGCTGAATCCCTGGACAGGTAAGTGCCCTAATATTAAGTCAGCAGCTACAGTATTTGTAACTTCTGATTATTTTTTTTTAGGAGGGGGGCCAGAACTCCACTTCAGGCCTGCACATTGCTTACTTCCAGCATATCCTCAGTTTTGTTGATAAGCAATATCGGTGTCAGAATAAAAAGAAGAGGGAGAAGGACCTTTGTTCTGTAATACTCAAAGAAAGGTATTTTACAGGCAAGTCAAAAATCTGGTTTTAGTGGGATATTACAGCACAAAGAAAATGGTTACTTCTTAAATTATTGGGATGTCTACAAGCATTCCTTTGAGGATGGGCAACCTGGCAAACAGGCTCACTGAAAAACCCCTGAACATAAAAAGGAAAAAAAAAGGAAGTGCATCCACACTCAAGGCTAAACATCCTTCTGGTAAAATTTAGCAACCGGTTTGTGTATCAGATTGACGACCTGAGGATGTGGCTGTGGGATAGGAGTTGCAAAGTCCTAACAATATCAAAACAGCAGACACAAATCACCTTAGGTGACAGAAAAGGTTTGTGATACAATGTCCAGGTTCAAATGAAATGTGACCACCATGGGCAGAAAGGCGGGTCTAGGTCTTAAAATCCCCCTGTCCTTGAGAAGCACAGGCCTATCTCCTCAAAAAGATTAAGGCTGCAAGTTCAGGCACCATCATAAACACTGTCCTACCCACAAGAATAGGGTCAAAAGGCAACCTCTGAAGGACAGAAAACGCTAGGTTGATGTCCTACAGAGTCAACGGAGAACGTACAAGTGATACAATGCAAGTCACCCCCTGGAAAAAGCTCTGACCAAGGAAAGGGAAGCCAGCAGTCTCTGAAAAAGTACAGCCAAAGGTGGAAGAGCACTGTTCCCCTACCAAAAAAAGGGCCAAGTAGAGATGATGGCAGAAATATGGGATGCTTGATGTCTACCAAAGTCAAGAAATCCCCTTGATAGATAGAAGCAATCACTGACTGAAAAGTTTCAATAGTTTCCATGTGGAAAGTTTGTTAAAGCTCTTGAAAGCAGTATGAAGACCCAAATAAATCATTGAAGGTGGTGGCTGCATTAGTTTTTTTTTTTTTAGGCTTTTCCCCCTCTGTTTTTACCTGTTGATCTGGCTAGTAACACACCTGAGTGCCTCCACACTGGATGAAGGAGCATAGGGGCACCTTTGGACAGCAGCACTGTTAATCCAGGCTGGGGAGCTTGATATGCAGTAAGATTAAAGTTACATTTACACCTATCCTATCTTTTTGCCCGACAGCATGGAGACACAAGAAAATCAGTAGGAGGTCCCGGCGATAAGCTGTAGGAGGCAGCCCATGGAGGCTGCTGGCTCCTGCAGCTACTTGCATGTAATCGCTATGTGGTGCTTATTGACAGGTGATTGGCCCCGGGCACCGACAGTATGCATTCAGGGTCAATCACATGCAGATGAACCTGGTCAAAGGCCAAAAACACAGGTGTGAAATGGCCTTCCATACACTAACCATTTGCTGAATCCCACCTAATACTTTATAAGCCGTTACAGAAAAGTTTATTTTCATAACTAAAAGCTCATCATTGTGAGCACTCATGTGAGTAGTAAATCGCATGTCTCAATCCTGCAACTCATACATCTGCAGGACTGCTTCTTCTGTTGGGCAGTGGGATGCCATATAATAAAATGTTTACTTTTGGGTTTAATATAACCTTAAAAGCAGAACTTCAGATAATTTCTTTTTTTTTTAAATCACAGAGTGGGGCTGTGCCCCCCCCCCCCCCCCCCCCCACTGCAGCTTAGATGCCTTTTTTTTTCCCCATTAGGGGTGAGGACTCTCAGCTCACCTGGCCTGCCAATCCTGCGGAAAACCACACTCCCCCATGGTGGACTGTTCCTGTCTCTGGAGGGTGCACTGAGCGTACGGACGTCAGGAACAGTTCATTTACAAGACTGCTGGACCACAGGGGAAGCAGGAGCCAAAAGGGCTGGTCCTGTGCGGGGAGGATCCTCGGTGTCCTCTCCCCCAGAACAAAACAGGTATTTACCACAGCCCAAAAAAGAAATTGTCCTGGATTTCTGCTAGATTCAGAATGGTCCACACCTCTCCATTTGGCTTCTCTACAGTAGAAAGATTAGAATAGTGCTCGTGAAATTTTTCTGGTCCTAGAACAGGACCAATAAACCTTCAAGAGCACAACAGGTCCAGCTCAGCAAATAGAGCTGTTCTTTTGTTGGGTGCAGCAGGCACTTTCTAGCATACAGCATGCAGAAGGCATGTCACAAACCTCCAGCTTATAGCCTCTAGATAAAATATTTTGAACCCAGACACATGAAATATCCTGGATCCAAAGAAATGGCCTTACCAATCACCTTAGTGGGCTTGGGAGTCCAGTAGTTCTTCTGAAAGGGAGTATTCTGCTTGGAATCAGTTTTAGGGAACAAAAGAACCACCCTTTCTGGCCCCCCGATGTGGACCTCAGAGTACAATGGTTCTACTTTTGCCTCCCATGATCCTTTGGATAAACTTTGCCAAACAGTTGTTCACCTTTGAAGAGAATAAGTTGCAGCTGTTTCTTGCTCTGCTGACTAACATTTCAGCCATAATACATACTTCATGCAAATGGACAGGAAACAGGCAGGAAAGTTACTAGGGAGAATCTCCAAACACATCCACACATAAGTGCAATGTCTCAGGAAAGAGCTTAAAGTGCTGCCTAGCTGAGAAACTTGCCTGAAAGGCACCTGGTTTCTTAGCCATGTACTCTGCTTAAACCAATAAGGTCTGGCAAACCAACATGGAGGCAATCATTGCCTGCAAGAAAATGATGCCTTGAAAAAAAGATTACATTTTTTTTGCCTGCGGCATCCTTAAATACCAGAACTGCAGGCATCTTATTCAAAGACAGCGCAGGGTACAGTCCGGACCATCTTTTTCACACGCTATCCTCCACTGGATATTGTCACAAGAACCTTATTCAAGTGATAACAGACCTTGAACAATTCCTCTTCTGTATTAGGGTGTAGTGGACAGTATTTGGCTAGTTTGGAAGCCTTCCATGACCCCGGCCCTATCACCTTAGGTCTAAATGGCTCTGGCAGTGATTGCTTCAAATTCTTACAGAACATCATGGTGAGTTGTCCCACTGTGGCCTTTTGGGCTTGTGAAATGTACAGGGTTGGAGTTTCCCTACTGTAAGGATTTATCTGCCTCAGGAGGAGCCCATTTCCTCAGACCCCCTCCTTTTCCACTGTCTCCTATTCAAACCCTAGGAAGGGTGGAAAGGGGAGTTCATTGGTCAACTTTCCAAAGATGGAGATCTGGAATGCTTATGTTCCTCCTGCCTTAAATTAGATATCCACCAGTTGCTCCAACACCGTGGACAAAGATGTAAATTCCTCTTGGACATAAAGGTACCTGAAGAAGGCTTTGAAAGGGCAAGTGAAAAACTAGATGCTAAATCCATTTCAGAACTGGCTTGAAAGAATTTATCACCTGTCCTATGATGGACTTCAAGTCACCCAGGTTCCCTGTCCCATCATCAGGAAGCCCAAGGACCCATGGTTACCACATCTGTGCTGCAGACCAGGTGGCCCACACAAGGCCTCACTACTCAAGACAATAGCATCCTCTGGGAGGCTCCACAACAACTCGCACACCTCTCTCAGACATGGTAGGAAAATCCTCAAAACTATACTCATGTTTTCCAAAGCCAAATAGTGGGAAAAACCAGCACCAGGGACTCAAATACAGGGACAACCACTTACAATGAAAACATTGCAGAACTGCTAAATCTTCACCTCTGCAGGTCAGGCATATCCCGCAGCGTCTTAAATAAAAAGGGCTCCACCAAACCAAACCACAGCTCTGGATCTGTATAACACCCTGCTAGTTTGTTGAACTGCCTGCCAAGGTGGGCCCTTTCCACACAGAGTCAAGTACATGTGGTGGCTTACAAGTGGCCCCCATTCTCCTTGGGGTTCAGGTACAACCCCTCTATGAACAGAGGTCCATAGAAATTGACTGGGAAAAAGGTTGCTTCACAACATTGGGGAGGGGTTATGCAGTGCTGAGTTGTCAGTGTTTAATCACCTAGAGGTATGATTAAGAAGAAAAAAGGTACCCTTCAGAACTACAAACTTTACATTAAAATGGGAATTTTAAACACTAAGATTAACGTGAACATGTTGTTTCACAAGCAAAGTGACTAAAACCTACAGAAAAATAACATACCCGCCAGTTTTGTGGTCAATATTTCTTCATATTCTTCACGAACTTTATCTTCCCTTTCTTTAAGAAGACGTTCACATATCATTCCAACTTGTCTTAGAGTAAACAAGGGCTGTTCTTTACGGAACTGTGATGACGACGTGGACGTGCCTAAAAGACATTTTGATACTTCAAGTGTGAACATAAATTTTTACTGAAACCAATTAAGGTAAGTCACAAATGGCAAACACACAAGTTTTCTGAATTATATAAAGTGTTTAAAAAAAAACTACTATTCTAGAATATTACAAGTATAAAAGAAATGACAACATCCAACAAGCTGAAAAGTTACAGAATATTTGGGAATCATTCACACTATGGCACCACAGTAAAAACACATACAAACTACTGCATACTTTAGTGCAATGCACAGTCATTCAAAATGAGATTGTCGATTGACATGCATTGCAGAACATGCAACATTTTGGCAACGCATGGAAACCTGCCTGTCAGCAATGCGCTGGGGTGACGTTCAAAATGAATCACACCAACAGATGTAATATATGCTGCAGTAAAATCACAAGCTACCGTGGTGCTGCTGGTATGAATGAGTCCCTTACACATCAGGGTCTATATAACAAAAAATCAGAAGTATGCTGTTACCTGTTCAGTAATGGAAAGAAAAATTTTAAACTGAGCACATTATTAAAGAGAAGGTACATCAAGATCCCTACACATACCTACAGTACTGAAGTGATTGGCAAGTGTTAGTCATAATTATGGACCAATATATATCTCCTAGATTGTAAGCTCCAAGGAGCAGGGCCCTCGAACCCCTCGTGTTTTGCACTGTATTGTTATTGTACTGTATCATGTATTGTCCCCCATTGTAATGTACAGCACTGAGTGAACTGTTGGCGCTATATAAATACTGTATAAATAATAAAATACTGCCAATTTCTCGTCTAGCCAAACTCCTGAAAAAAACGACTTTTGGATATTTGCAATGTAAGAATCAGGGTCCACTAATTATGTGTGCCTTGTGTGATTGCTGCTACTTAAAACTATTACTTCAGCATACTACAGTAACAACTGAATATCAGGTGCCGTAGCTTATGTTCCAGCAGTAGTTTTCTGTACCTCTCCACCTCATCCCTTCATACAGTCAGGTCCATAAATATTGGGACATTGACAATTCTAACGTTTTTGGCTCTATACACCACCACAATGGATTTGAAATGAAACAAACAAGTTGTGCTTTAACTGCAGACTGTCAGCTTTAATTTGAGGGTATTTATATCCAAATCAGGTGAACGGTGTAGGAATTACAACAGTTTGCATATGTGCCTCCCACTTGTTAAGGGACCAAAAGTAATGGGACAGAATAATAATCATAAATCAAACTTTCACTTTTTAATACTTGGTTGCAAATCCTTTGCAGTCAATTACAGCCTGAAGTCTGGAACGCATAGACATCACCAGACGCTGGGTTTCATCCCTGGTGATGCTCTGCCAGGCCTCTACTGCAACTGTCTTCAGTTCCTGCTTGTTCTTGGGGCATTTTCCCTTCAGTTTTCTCTTCAGCAAGTGAAATGCATGCTCAATCGGATTCAGGTCAGGTGATTGACTTGGCCATTGCATAACATTCCACTTCTTTCCCTTAAAAAACTCTTTGGTTGCTTTTGCAGTATACTTTGGGTCATTGTCCATCTGCACTGTGAAGCGGCGTCCAATGAGTTGTGAAGCATTTAGCTGAGCAGATAATATTGCCCGAAACACTTCAGAATTCATCTTGCTGCTTTTGTCAGCAGTCACATCATCAATAAATACAAGAGAACCAGTTCCATTGGCAGCCATGCATGCCCACGCCATGACACTACCACCACCATGCTTCACTGATGAGGTGGTATGCTTAGGATCATGAGCAGTTCCTTTCCTTCTCCATACTCTTCTCTTCCCATCACTCTGGTACAAGTTGATCTTGGTCTCATCTGTCCATAGGATGTTGTTCCAGAACTGTGAAGGCTTTTTTAGATGTCGTTTGGCAAACTCTAATCTGGCCTTCCTGTTTTTGAGGTTCACCAATGGTTTACATCTTGTGGTGAACCCTCTGTATTCACTCTGGTGAAGTCTTCTCTTGATTGTTGACTTTGACACACATACACCTACCTCCTGGAGAGTGTTCTTGATCTGGCCAACTGTTGTGAAGGGTGTTTTCTTCACCAGGGAAAGAATTCTTCGGTCATCCACCACAGTTGTTTTCTGTGGTCTTCCGGGACTTTTGGTGTTGCTGAGCTTAACGGTGTGTTCCTTCTTTTTAACAGTTGTTTTGGCCACGCCTAATGTTTTTGCTATCTCTCTGATGGGTTTGTTTTTTTTCAGCCTAATGATGGCTTGCTTCACTGATGGTGACAGCTCTTTGGATCTCGTCTTGAGAGTTGACAGCAACAGTTTCCAAATGGAAATAGCACACTTGAAATGAACTCTGGACCTTTTATCTGCTCATTGTAATTGGGATAATGAGGGGATAACACACACCTGGCCATGGAACAGCTGAGAAGCCAATTGTCCCATTACTTTTGGTCCCTTAACAAGTGGGAGGCACATATGCAAACTGTTGTAATTACTACACCGTTCACACCTGATTTGGATGTAAATACCCTCAAATTAAAGCTGACAGTCTGCAGTTAAAGCACATCTTGTTTGTTTCACTTCAAATCCATTGTGGTGGTGTATAGAGGCAAAAATGTTAGAATTGTGTCCATGTCCCAATATTTATGGACCTGACTGTATAGGTCTTGTATTTTTTCTCATTGAAAAAAAGTTGTTCTGTGATTGAGAGAATATGATCTTCATCCATCCCTACAAATCACATTGGTACTCACTTCAAAGAATTAATCTTAAGGCTTATGCCCTGAAGAGTAGGAATCCTCTTTTCCCTGTTAAAGTGGGTCTAAAATCTAAAAACCTTCAGGGTACAGATCCCCTCTAATACTTACCTGAGCCTGATCCAGTGAGGTGTACGAGAGCAGAGGCTCTCCCGCGGCCCTCTTCCTTCATTGGAGACATAGCAGCGGGAGCCTTCATAAACTGAGCTATGCTGTGTATGTAGCTTGAGACTGAGCTACGCTCTGTGTGTCGCATAGACAAACAGAGGGGGCTTGGGAGCAAACATGCACGAGTGCTTCCAGAGCAAGCAGCTTGCTCTGGGGGCATTTGGCAAGAGGGAAGTGCCAGCAGGGGACCCAAGGAGAATTGGGACTGTTCTGTGCAAAACCACTGCACAGAGCAAATAAGGATGTTTTTATTATTTAAAAAACAAGGCTTTAGAACCAGTTTAAGGCATCATTCACACAGGACATACAGTACCGTATGCCCATGCAGGACCACATTCATCTTCACACGATGAACAGGTATTCTGTGCATCCCCGTGTAGGCAATCCCATTTAGTGTCTTTTGGGATACAGCAGCTGCACAGAAGGCATGTGACCAGTCAGGCACCGCATCAGGCAGAGCCAGTGACGGTACTTTCAGTTGGACGTGAAACCGAATGTGTGGTGAAAGAGTGGGTCTGAACAGAAATAATGCCATTTGATGTTTTTTAGGTCTGTGAGTAGCAATATTTTTAAATAATAAAAGGCTGAAAGTTTGAAAATCGCGTTGCGTTATGAGAAATCTATTTGATGTCTGAGCAACATCTGAATGGTGGATGGAAGGTCCTGTCCCTTAAAGGGATCCTTCAAGTGAAGTGGGCAAATAGCCAGCAGATGGATCCACAAGGATTACTAATCTAAAACGCTTGTAGACCTATAATGCATATGGGTCAAGGTGGGCATGTAGAAATGTTGGAGCACACGGCAGTGATGGCAGAGTGGCATAATTTATCACGCACGTTGTGAACATTGGTGATTTACATACTTTACAAAAACTGAGCCAAATTTGAACAGTTGTAATTGTATGGACTATATGTCATGGGTACACAGCTCTATTAATGTCGGGTGTACACTATATAACACACAACTGCTTGTGTATATTTTTGGTTTTTTTTTAAATAAATGTGTGTTAATTATGTATACAAATTAGTATTGTACACAACGCTCAGTTGCCATTTCATTTAATATAAAATTTAAGTTTTTAATTTCTTCAAGCAGCAGTGCATAAACTTCAGTAATAACTGGCCACTTAGGCTTCATGCACATAGAACGCTGGGGGAAGAAAAAAAAAAAAAAAAAACCTCTTGCTCCTCCTGGCAGCAGCGTTTTTTTGCTGAAAACACACCTGATGCTTTTATAAGTGTTTAGGTGCGTTTATAGGTGTCAAGAACCTGGGCATTAATTCCTTTTTATTGGGCAGAATATTAATTTATTATTAAAAGCACCACCGCAGTTGAAGGTGGCCTTGATGGGTTCTGTGGTGTGGATGGGGCAGTCGGTATGGGAGGGGGAGGGGCGCCTTCGGTGTTCTCTAAGTGACTGGCTTTCACGGAGCTGTGCAGCTGTGTTCCACCTGGACTCTGTGGATTGGAAGGATGGGCGAGATTTCGGGGGTCCCGGAATGTTGCGTTCCACTCTGTGGGGCGGGAGAGAGGTGCTGGCCAAGGACATGGGGGGATAAAAGAGCAGTGCAAGCTGATGGGCCCAGGCTCCAGGACATGGTTTCTGGTTGCCATGGTGACCTTGGAATTGTCAAGCACTGCAGTACCCCACCATAAATGCTTAATTTACAAATTACAGGCTTTTGGCATTGATATTGTGTGTACCTGGATAGAACACTAGTTGCAGCAGCATTCAGAAGGCGGCATATTTTCGGATAGTCTATAGTAGTAAGCAGGGTTCCCCAGATCTCTGTCCTGGGATCAATTCTGTTTAACTTGTTCATAAATGTTATAGATGTTGGAATACACAGTTAAATCTCTGTTTTTGGATTATACAAACCTAAGGGGGCAATAACTTCACAACAGGATATAGCAACTTTACAAAACCACCTAGTTAAAATAGAGGGTTGGGCAGCTATATGGGAGATGAGGTTTAATATTGATAAATGTAAAGTACTTGGGAACTAAAAATATGAATACAAGTTACTCACTAGGGGGAAGGTGGAAAAGGATCCATAGGACTTCACTGATCATAGGCTAAGCAATGGCATGCAATGCCAAGTTGTAGGAAGCAGATGAGTGTCTCCCACGAGTCAGAGAAAGTCCTTGTGTGTCAATTTGGTGTCACCAAGATTCCCAAAATAACCTCCATCCCTATCCTGCATCTAGTTTTATGCATTTAATTTTGTTATTCTTATTCTATTTACATCTGAATATTGCTGGTCATTTCTAGCCTCTTTCAGCCACTGTCTACATTCACTGACTACAGCATTAGCTGCACATCACTGCTCTAGACCACCTTCATTATAGTGATAATAAAGGGTCAAGGCTGGGCAATGTGTGTCTAAACAGCTGATTTTAGCTTCCACCTGGGGCACATGGAGACAGTTTCCAATTATGGGGCGACAACTGTTTGATGGTGCTTCAACTGGGTGGCAACTGTTAACCCAAAAACGGGAAATGTTTGATCTAGGACCCAATATTTTAAATAACTCTGCATATTTAAAAATGTAAAAATTATGAAATTACATTAAGGGCCCGTCCACACCTAGCACGCTGCAGTAATGCAGTATCAAAAGCTTTACTGTGTTGATGCATTTTCAATAGCAACCAACACAAATGTCACTCAACTGTTCAATGCACCGTTGAAGATGTCGGTGTGCCGTCTTGAAAAATAATGCAGGTTCCATTTTTGCTGCGTTAGGACCAATTCAAAATGAAAATGCGTGCGTCACAAATGACTACAGCACATTGGCAAAAAAAAAAAAAAAAAAAAAGTATGCGATTTTTAGCAATTGTTTTTACATATACTTTGAAGCCCCACCCGAGAGTTTTTTTTTTTTTCTTTCAAACCAGCCATCCCCTTTAACTTTAAACCAGTCTATTAGGTCTTTATCCCCCTTTACCTTGTGAAGCCAGAGGTACTTGCCTCAGGGCTCTTTTTCACATTGGGCGCCTTAATATGGGCCCCTTGTGACCGAGCCCCAAGTCCTCCATCCAGGTCCCACACCAGCACTGTTTGAGTGATGTGACCACTGATTCATCACTGCAGTAACCTTGCAGGCAGCATCTGACCTCACCACACCCCTCTGCTGTCATCTACCTTTCCTCCGATCCTGTGAAGGCCTGGCTGAAGCCAATTCAAATCCAATAAGTCTGCACATCAGACAGGCACTGACATGGACACCCAAAACAGGATCTAAACAAAAGACTCAAAGCCAGAACATCATATGACCATGGCTACAGGTAAGTAAAAAGGGCTTTTACAAGGGATTTTTTTTTTTTTCAAATAAATAGCAATTATGTTTAGGCCTGTGGGTGAAGGGGAGGATTTTATCCCGAAGCGGGGCCCCAAGCCATGACAAAGCAGAGGTCTTCATCTAACTGTAAAACACGTGTTACTAAATTAAATTAAGCCATCAGGACATGAAAGAAAAAACACTACAGTAAACCTGGAGAACTATTCCCACAATTTACAAGACAGCTGCAAAAAAAACAGGAAGCTTTTAACAAAGCATATTTGCTCTAATGTATGCACAGGGAGCAAGAGTGGCACTATTCAGGAGAGGGATGTAAAGTAAAGTGCCCCCCCCCTTTAAAAAAAAAAAAAAAACAGTCACCTTGTTTATCAAGCAAGTGCCCATTTATTAGGAGGGTGTGCCGAGATGAGAAAACCTCTCCTCCCCTGCTGAAGAATCCTGGGATGTAGGACATATTTTGCCTAGGCAATAACTGAAGTTAAAAAAAAAAAAAAAAAAGTAACAAGTAAATATAATTTGCTTCCCTATCTATTACTAATGCTAGCAGCATAAGGATTAAAAAATAGCCAACGCTGATTGAGAGAGTAAAGTTTCGCTTTAAAGTGAAACTAAACCTGCAAAAAAAAAAAAAAAAAAAGACCACGCAGCTCTTTACTGCAGAACAGATATGCAGAGAAGGTGTTGGTTGGGGAGAATGAGGGTATCCAGTGGATTAGAAACATAGGTCAGTGTCAAAACAGCGGGAGGGTACTGTGTATACCAAAAACAACAAACACATTTGCATGGAGTCTGAGATTTTAACGCTTTTTTTTTTTTTTGCGTAACTATCTGGACATAGATTAATTTTTTTTATACATATGCACTGTGCCTTGAACAAACCAACTACTGTTTGTGTTTGCCTAGCTCGTCCACACCAGTCCCTACATAACCTTTTACATAGCTGCTGGGGAGCAGAAGCTACAAAATACTATAGTGTCAACTGAGACCTCAGGGGGCTGCTGACAAGGGAGGCATTTACAGGTAAATAACATGCATAACAAATTCATTTGCATATAATCCTATGGGAAGGTTTCTGGTTGAAATGAATACTTGTATTAAATAAACGCTGCATGTAATTTTGTACATGCAGCCTTCTGATTCACACCTGCAAATGACACTTACTGGTTCAACATTTCAGATCACTGTGTCACCTCTGTCTCCAAGCTGTTCAGTGCATAATAAAATCAAATTATCACCTGTATCCAATTTGCATGTGATCCAAGAAGTAAAAACATGTATTTCAACAGTGTATTCAGTGGTATGTCTGCAGCTCTATTTGAAGATTATATGCACAATTATTCACTTTTGACAGTATAATCTTACAGGTTATGGTGAGAAGGGTACAAAGAAACCAAATGCTCTCAGACCACCTATTAAGCAGTTTGGAATAAATGACTATATTAGCACTATACAGCAGAGGTCCTGGGTGTGCTTTTGGCTGTTTAGGTTGTAAAGGAATGATTTACATGGTTCTGCCCACTGTCCAGAAATGAGGAACAGTACTTTTCTTTTTGGGAAAAGTGATGGACAGACAAGAGAATATCTTCTGTTTTAAGACAGCTTTACTGTGCTATTCATTTGTTAAACCTTTACACTTGAGAGGTTTACCAGACATACACTTCCACAACCTAATACATATTAGACAGTTTCCCTTTTGCTCCTATCCAAAGTTTCAAATAAAATGGCAGTTCCTCTTGTTTTCATGACATCCAATTGTGTCACATACACAGTAAATCCACCATACCTTCTGCACTGTGCATCAATTCTTGCCCTTATATGGCCAGAATCAGTAGGATCAGTAGGCTTTTATATGCAAAAACATTTAATCTGCCTCAACATTTTATGTATTCTAACTAGGCCACACATGGCTACAGAACACATTATTTTGGAAGGAAATAGGATGGAGAGCTAGAAACAGTGCAGGATCAGATGCCTAGTAAAGTAACTGATTGATAAAAACATAAAAAACAGCTTGCTGTTGCATAGTCCTCTAAACTGGCGCTGCAACACAGAGAACAAGAACAATCATCATCATCATGTCTAGCTGTCACCAAGAACAAATATACAATAGAGCATAAGACATCTTCACTCACCGGGTAAAGTAGGCCCAGAAGGCAGGAAAGTGTGTGGTTGGCCTTCACTGGAACAGCAAGGTTCTGTTTGCTGAAAGCTGCTTTCCAAATGTCTCCTCTTTTGCATGCGTTTATACTCTTGTTTGATGTTGTAAAGGATTTGTTCTGTAAATAGGATACACAAGCCAATTAAACATCAACCCATCTCTTATCACCAGAGACATGTTTAATGTTATCATTTTATTTATAGAATTGCCAGGATTAAAGAAAAAAAAAAAAAAAACCTACAGAAAGTGAAGATGCTAAATTCACAAGCCAGGAACCCACAGCAAGCCATTTGTGCTTTACAAAAACCAAATCAGCATGGCCACAAAGTCCAGACATTATCAATCATGAAACAGTGTATTTAAAAACCCAAAAACCTATACTGCAGGTATCCCTACATTACTATTTCTGTGCCCTGGAGTCATTAAATTAGGGGCCCTTTCCAAATGGAAGCCTACGGCTCCCCTACATGCTTTGATTCAGATCGCTCTGTATCTACCCAACTGATTAACATAGCTGAGATAATCCTCACCAACATGTTTGAGATTTACATACTGAGAACCCCAGGATTACTAGCTCTTGGGTCCCTAACTAGTATAACTATGAAAAAGTGCTACTAACCCTCTCCAATCACATGGGTAAGCTGTGTGTCTTGTGTCAGTTAACAAATGACTAATCTGACTTGGCTATTCCTACTCTAATTGGATCAGACTAGTCATGTGTTTATGGGCACTCCTCTTGGGACAATGCTTGACTGCAAAGCAGCAAGTTTCCTGAAAGCCTGTTGAAGCCTAGACACTCCACACACATTAAGGTTTCCATACAAATTGTTTTTTTAGTTAGGAACAGAGTGAAGCCTAGCAATTTAAATCACTGGGACAGAAAGTAATTGAAACAAATCAACATTGTACACAAGGAACATAAAGAGTTCTTGAAGGTTTTCACTGCCATGAGCCAAACAGCTTGCTGCTGAGCAGCTCAATACCCCTTTGACCCACTACACTCTCTTGAGCTAGAAGCTTGTGGTCGCTTCAGCTTACAGAAAAGGGACCATGGCTACTCATGAGCAGTTGTGATCAGAAGCTGACAACCTGTTAGTCACAGCCATACATTAAAGCCATCACATCTGGCATGTTGTGATGACAGCAAAAACAGCAATGCACAAAGTTTGTTGCCCATAAAGGAGATGGAGCTTCTTTTGGGTGGCAAGCTTTGTGCATTGCGGTTTCCAACTATTTATTGCGCGACAATGGCAAAACTGCACCCCATTTAGGTGCCATTAAAAATGAATGGCACTTGGGACATGCATGGTGTGGTCTGTTATTATTGCAGTGCAATTCGGGATTGTGGGCAGAATTACTGCGATTCTGCCCAAGTTCACAAAACGCCTAAAATGTGAGCACACCCTTCTGCTACTGCTGCCCCAACAGTGTTTCCATCACTCTGCTTCATATTATCAGTTCTTTTCTTCTGTGGACCCTTCACAACCTGCTGGTACTGCAAATTGTGTGCCCTCCAATATCTACTGAGCCCCACCAGCAATGGGATTTAGTTTGAGTGAACAATGGAATACTCAGTACAGAGGCATTCAGTTCAGTAAGTACTAGTTAGAGAAGGAGACTGAAAAGTGAAAAATTAAGTGTCTGTTAGACTCTTGATTTTTTTTTTTTTTCCCCAAAGAGGACTGAAAATACCCCCCCCATAATCATGTGCACTACACGGATTATGGTAATACACGTTACATGTATAAAACAAAGACAACACAGCATGCTGCAGCACACAACCCTGCCTTGCATTTCCATATAGAGGCAAGGTGTTTTGGCCACAATGGGGTGAGTAGTGGTTTATCATGTGTTGATATGCAAGTGTTAATGCAGAAATGTTAAAGGTGACCATTACCTTTGAATGGGCTGCCAATTCACAACCTTTTTTTTTTTGTAAATGAAGTACTAAACAAACTTTGCACTGTGATATGTTGGATTGTAGACACACTGGATACAATTCTATAGCATGCTCCTAGGGGGAATTTTACAAGTTTTCAAATATATGAGGAAAAAAAATAAAAAAAAATTCTAAAATGCAAGTAAAGTGAAAGATAGCCACCTGAAGTTAAAGAGTTCCCCCCCCCCCCTCCAAAATATACTTACCTAGGTGGATGTAGCGTCGGTCCGATGCTGCATTTGTCCCTCACTGGCGCCAAGTGTGAGAACTCAGTGATCACATGACCTCTTATCCTTGAGTTCTCACCACTGCTGTGAGCAGAGAGCTCTGACACCCCCCACCCCACACTCACTGGAGTGCAGGGCTGTAGAGGGGGAGGGAGAGGCTGGCTCAGATTCTCAGCGCCTCACTGAGGCTGAGCCAGGTGGCGCTCCAGACCCTTGGGTGGATCCCAACTTTAAAGTCTGGATATTTCCCCAGCCTGCAACAGCTAAGTGACTTCAGCCCACTGTCATCTGAAACCAGGTCACAGGAGTGCAGAACAAACAGCAAAAGAGGTTTGGCTGTACTTCTCCTTTAAGACCTCCTTTCTGCTGGCCCTTTATATGCCCGTTTATATGCATTTAGAGGACATTTCTAGACCCTTCTAAAAATGCAGCCAATTTTTTTTCATTCATTCTCATTGTGTACCCACATTTAGCGGAGGTCAGTTTAGATGCATTTAGAGAAACCAGAATTGCAGTGACCAGGATCAGATTAGACACTCTAAAACTTGGCTTAAAAAAAAAAAAAAAAAAAAAAAAAAAAAAAAAAAAAAAAAAAAATTTACCTAGGTGGATGCAGCATCTGTCCCCCTGCCACATTGCTGATCGCTCAGTTCTCCCCTCCACTTTGAGCCGAGAGCCATGACTGTCAGTCTCTGCTTCTCCAGTACTCATTGGAGTGTTGGGCTGTGGAGGGAGTGAGAGGGGCTGGCTTAGGCTCTAGATGGATCGCTGAGAGCCTGAACCAGGTGCCAGTCCAGACTTCTAGGAGGACATGGTCAGGATCTTTTCAGAGCCTGGACCAGCTCTGTGACGTTAGCTGACAATGGGCTTTAGCCCACTGTCAGCTGAAAAAGGATCACAGGAGCGCAGAACTAACTACACTCCTGTGAGCCATAGGAGTTATAGCTGGGAGAAAAAAACAAAAAAAACACTTTTGGCTATACTCCTTTAACTTTCATTTTAGATGTAGATGCAGTGTATTTAGTTGCATTTACATTAGACTTAGAATTAGTGGTGCACTGAAATGAAAATTCTGGTGCCGAAACCGAAAATTTAGAATGCATCTGGCCGAAAACCGAAATGTCTGCGTATATGAGGGTGGGGAGACTAACATTTTTTTATATTATATATATACACACACACACACACACACACACACACACACACACACACACACACACACGCACTTTAACATATGATTTTATTGCTATCACATAGGGGCCCAATAGTCCCCTATGTAATAGCATATGAGTGACAGGTCCTCTTTGTAGGGGGGAGGGGGCAACGTGTGCAAGGAGGGTATACAGAGAGGCTCCCTCACTGGCTGTCACTATATCTCGGTGCCGTTATTTAAATGCAATTGCTGGCTTTTTTTTTCTCCTCCTCCTTCACTATAGCTCACAGAATTAGCTGTCACTTTCCCTGGAGCTAAAGGAAACTTTGTTTCTTTTAACTTGGGGAAAGAAACTAAAAACAAATGATTTCTTTTAGCTGGGGGGAAAGTGACAGCTAATTCTGCGAGCTATAGTGAACAAAAAAGAAAAAGCAAAAAAAAAAAAAAAAAAAAAAAAAAAAAGCCGGTATTTACATTTAAAAACAGTCACTGTATACACTGCTCCTCTCACACCACCCTCACATCTGCAGTGCACAGTCTCCTACATTGGCTAAATTTTTCCTATCAGCAAAATGCTGATAGGGCTATTTTCGGCCAATATGTTTCAGTGGCCGAAATTTCAGTGCATCCCTACTTAGAATAAAAGTTGTTTCTGTTTCCCAGATAACTTCTACATTTAGAAAAGCTGAACACAGGAGTGTCAGTGTGAGTCTTTAGGATAGGTTCACACTTGGGTGAGTCGGGAGCACTTGCTAAAATCACACTTGTTCCCAACCTCAGGGAAAATTCATTGCCTAGATTGTAAGCTCCAAGGAGCAGGGCCCTCAATCCCCTCATGTTTTGCATTGTATTGTTCTTGTTCTGTCACATGTTCTGTCCCCCTTTTGTAATACAGCGCTGAGTGAACTATTGGCGCTTTATAAATACTGAATAATAATAATTGCTCTTTAGCAGATGTAGGGGGGTGCCATTAATTCTTGAAGTGGTTGTAAAGGATGCACGAAGGTTAAAAAAAAAAAAAAAAAAAACCTTCGTTGCAGCAGCCCCCCCAAAACACCTAGCTGAGCCCCATCCCGATGCAGTGATGTCCATGAGAGCCTTGGTTCCCTGGGGACCCTTACTCCTGATTGGCTGATGCAGCTGCTGTCAATCACAGCCAGTGAGCCAATCAGGAGAGGGAGGGAATGAGGAAAAGTTGCAGCTCTGTAAGAATGGACACAGAGCCTCAACTCAGGATCATGCCTGCCCGGGTGCCCCCATAACAAGCTGTTTGCTATGGGGGCACCCGACAGGGGGAGGGGCCAGGAACGCCAACAGGGGAACAGAGGAGGAGGATCTAGGCTTCTCTGTGCAAAACGACTGCACAAAGCAGGTACGTATGCCATGTTTATTTAAAAAGGACTTTAGTATCACTTTAATGGCACCACCATGAACAGCAAACAGCGCATTTTTCCTTGCACCAAAACAGATGGTGCTGCAGCACCATGTGGCTCGAAGCGGCGCAATTTAAAAAGGCAGGAACTTCTTTCCCTGCGTTTCTGCAAGTACCACTGCCCATTAAAATGAATAGGCCGACTACACGTACATTTACCAAAACATTTACAGTATTCACATAATCAATAGAGGAAGGTCTCTGCCAAAGCCACCATCATCTCTGAAGTGTTTTCAGGCAAAGGCTCTGATTGAACTGAAAACTCTATCTGGAATAAGAGGTCACATCACCCCCTTTTAAAATAATCACATTTTGTTGCTTTGCAGCCTGAAATTAAGAGTTTGTTTTATTCAGATGTATTTACTAA